TGCATACTGAAATGAGTTAAATGACTTAAAGATTTAAAATATCAAAAGGAATACAAGATACTAAAATATCTTATAATTCTTAATATTTGAATTTTTTATGAGCACATGTAAGTGAAATTAGTTTAAATCAGATATACCCATTGGATTATATAAAATTAAATGTCATTTTTGAACACATAATCCACTTCAGTTAGACATTGTGGTAGTTCGTTTCTACTATTTTTTCCACAAAATATATGGCTTCTAGTGGGGAATATTATGTCATGAAAAATGTTAATGTAGTCAGCTAAAAAAATATTTCTCCTTTAAAATATTACTGTTTACAAATCAGATCCTTTCCAAATTATCCAAAATATGTGAGTGAATTCATAAGTGCTCTCTTCTCTGACTCTTTAAACATCAAAAGGGACCATCTTCAAAATCCAAATGCTTCTCCAGCTTTCCGCAGGATATCACAAAACTTCCTGGCAGGCACTTTTAAACAAGTTGAGAAGTTTTATAAGATAAAAATATTTTTTCAGTTGACTTGACAACCATGTACAATGTTAGTGGAGAGTTTATTTGCCCAAGGCTTTTTGTCAAAATGAATTTAAACTGAGATTATTAAAATGCAGTTCAATTGCACAGTATGAGAAGAGGTGTTGCTAATGTCTTACTTTAAGAATGTTTTCCATGCAATATATTGCCACTTGGTTACAAAGTTGTATATATAGAGGTGTGTTTCTGCTAAAACAGCAGAGGGATTAGAATATTTGGAGCACAATAAATCGTCTGCAGGGATGGCGTTTGATCCAGAAAGAGAAGCACTACCGTGGGGGTGATTTTGAGGTCTGTCTGACTAAGCATCAGACTGCCTGAGTGTGAGTCACAGCTCCTCCATTTACCTCAGTGCCTCCTTCTTCTGTAAAATAGAAGTGATTATAATAGAAACATCATGGGGATATTGTGAGGATTAAATGATATCATTGTCAATGACTAATATGGTGACTGGCACAGAGAAAGGTTCACAGTTAATTGTTTTATTTCAAAGCTGTAGAATCAGAACTTAGCAGTGTCTCCTGATAATTCCAGATGTGTGGTTAGAAAAAGTCCCTGTCCCAATTTAATGATAATCTTTTCTATTACAAGTTTAAATAGATTTAGGAAATTTTCACTAATGGTAAACAATGCTTGAATCACCAGATCTCTCCAAGGCTGAAGCTAATTTCTTACATGAAAATCAGGATCCCACAGTGAAAATGATCATCTGGATGAGAGGTTATAATCTTCCCAATTTGGAAAATCATATTGCACTCCTTTGGGTAATGTCCAAATAGCTGAATCCTGGAGGCAATCACTCTCCTCTCAAATGCACCCATTAGTTAGGAAGTTTTATTATTTCTGAAAAAGATCAGCATTTGTGCATGGTTTGAAATTGCTGCACCATCTTGGAAGAGTTGAGCATGTTCTACGTGGCAGGAAGCCATTCATTAATGGTTCATCCACTGATGTTCCATGCAGCCAGAATCTGTAGGGGAGATGAAATGGTGATACTGATGAGGCTGTGTCAGAACTGAACAGTTAGCACTACAGAAAARCATTCTTATCAATTTGTGCGATTGTTCCATACTTCAAATTACTTGTTTTAATTTGATATCTAATCAAAATAATTTTGCCATTATTATTTACTGAAGTTTACACTTTCACCAAATAAAGCACACAGCAAATTACTTTTAATGATGGATTTATTTCTATGTGACAAATTAGAATAATACAATAAAATTTCTGTAATCTACTGCCCCAATATAAGGAAGTACCATGGATCTGTCCTATGTTATAGGTTCTGTATAGGCACTTGGCATCACCCTCACAATAAATCAATCAGGAAAGTATATTTAACAAATGAGACACTTGAAACACGTTCATATATTTATTGTTATTTAACTTACCTCTGATCATAGAAATAGATGGAAGATACAGAGATTAAAACTCTAACTTCAGCATCTTTTTTCTCTTCCCTTCAATATGCCATTGATTGAACTGGCTCCTAGTTATCCCATAAACTCTCTTACTTTTTCTCATTATCTTCAAAGTCTGAAAACATTTATCTTTCTACATTCTATTGTCAACCATTCTATTAATATATATTGATACAGACTATTTTAAGGCATTAATTAAAAGAAGAAGGAAATATTATTCACTTGTGAACTTTATAGCACTACAAGTATGTAGTATTCAATAATGTAGTTTCAGTTTTATTTACCTGAATTAACATAGTCAAAGTTAGCAGACATACTAAGCCATACTTTCCTCTTAATTCATTAATGATATGGATAGAATTTATTTATTACTTCCATGTCATTTACTTCTTTCAGAAACATATTTCATAACAAATTTGATTMAAATTTTTAATTTATCAATATAAAAGTGAATTTGGATATTCATGTGAATTTTTATTTTTATTTGAGAAAACTTAAATAATCTAGTTGTTATTTCCCTTAGCAACCTTAATAATGTCTTTTAATTTACAGTTATAAAACATGATACAGATATTTTATGTTTTCCATTATGAGGATCAATTTTATTTATTTATTTTTTAATGTAGACCATAAAAAAAAAAGAAAGAGGAATATCAAACTATCCTGCCATCCTCTCAGATTTAGGATACATAAATACAAACTTTCCTTTCTCTGTTTGTTCAGTAAAAGCATCATTCATGAATACTTGTTGTAATGCTGTCACTAAGAATTAAGTGGTGATTATATGAATTTTTTTTCCTAAAACAAAAGTGATTCTACCTGAAGTCATAGTTCTCCATTTCAGCATGGGTTACAAAGAATATTATTATTCCATTGCAGACTCTTAGAGCTTTGCAAAAGTCCTTATCCTCAGGAAYTTGGAGAGTTAATCAAAAGTAAAAATGTAAAAACATCAAAAATGCATAAGATAATATAGAAAACACTGTGACAGTGCTGTTTACATAAACCTATGATAGGAAGAAAAGATAATACAAACAGATTATGTGGGGACTAATGAATGAAAGCCCTCCAGAAGTAATCTGATTATTTTGAAGATCAAGCAGAAGTTGTCTAGGCAAAGAAACTGCACTCAGGACATGGTGCAGGTAGGGCTGGGATACATGGATGCCCAGTGTGCAGTGGTTGATCACAAAAGCTCTAGATATGCCACCTCCATTCAGCTATTTTCACCTCCCAGTTTTTCGTTTACATAACTTTAAGCAAATTACTTCATATTAGCAAAATGTATCATAGTCTTTCTTACTCCATGGGGTTATTTACAGGGTATTAAGCCCTGATATGGTACATGGTACATAAGAAATGTTAAATAGCAATTAAATGSAAGAGAATAAGAAATAAAATAGAATTTGCAGGGAAATGGATGGCACTAGAGCAGATTATGCTTAGTGAAGCTAGTCAATCCCTAAAAAACAAATACCAAATGTCTCCTTTGATATAATGAGAGCAACTATGAACAGAG